AATCATTTTTCCAAAAATGCACTCTGCGTATTCTTCAAATTTTCATTTGATGAAGTCAGAGGCCATGGCAGCAGGCCGAACAATCAAAATCATACTCAAACCATGAAAACACAGTTATGGAAAAAATCACTAATATTGCAAAGCATCAGAAAAAACGACCAAGTTGAGTGTAAGCAGAAAGGGTTACGGTTCACCTTTTCACTTTGCCTAGAATCGAAATGAAGGTCACATGATTATACCACGTGGCTCAGAGGATGCAGCACCACGAAGAAAATCCATGTAAGTCAGATAATTCCATTGTCTAGCGGCAATTTCCTTATAATTTGCCTTGTTGTGACTTGCAGATGAATCCGGGACTTGCGTCTTATGCTATTTGGGAATCGTCAGCCGCACGAACAGGGTGGTTAGTTTGATAGCCAGTGTGATAATAATGAAATAGTTACAGATTGATTATTTATGAGAGAGTTGGAAAAGATGTCACTGACAAAAACTGCAGCCAAGACCTATGTGGTGATTTGGTTTAAGAGCTCGATCAGTTTGTTACCGGAGTGTCACTATTTATAATTCGCCAGTGGCCTAACTTTCTGTACCATATGATAATAGCAACTTAGTTCCCATCGAACAAAGGAAATCTTTTACACACATGCTGCTTGATTAAACTAACTACATAAACATCAGTGTTGATGAAAAAGATCAGTAGGATGTACAATCAAAGCAGGTGATTAGACTTCTAATTTGTTAATTTATGTAAAACATGCAGAATCCTGATGTGTATTCTATATACTGTGTGCAATGATGTAACCTGAAAGTGTTCATAAACTCAGTTAGTTCAGTGCTACAATAACTCGTTTTTTTGCAAACATTTTAAAGAATGATTCATTATATATTTTAGGGAATGGTTTCTTACATCTATTTCGATTGAAAAGAGCGCTTACTGAAAGCAGGGATACAGTTATCTTTTAAAGCTTCTGAGTAACTCTGGAATTCACCCTTATAGCTTGGTTGGTAATCGGGTTTTTTTCTTGTAGAAGCTCGTGGTAATCAGCTCAATGATGAAATGAGTTCAAGTTTTCCAGTAGTTACTATGACGTCTATGGATAACTAAGTCAGGAGTGAAGATAGTGTCTGATAGTGATGTTACGGCAACCTCATCATACCTCAGAATAACTAATTGTAAAGTCAGCATCCTTTAATTCTAAGCCGCTGAAAGAGTGTCAATGTCCTTCCTTTGAGATCTTATTTTTTTGGCCTCCCTTATTTACCGAACTGCTCAGGAGTCACGGAATGAGGATAAGCATCTGAAAATGGTTCATGTGAAATAGTATTAAGGTGGGCTTGAGGAAAAGCCAAAAACAATACGTCTACATTAAATGACTGATTATACCAGGTAAATGGTGATAGTAGAGTTTTAATTGTTCCACGACTCAAAAAATCAGTGATCTAGCCAGTAGTACTCTAATACCTATAATTATGTAGCGAAAATAACGATACATAGTTTGGATGGAATTTACCCAAATAGTTGCAACCAGAAAGACTTGCCTGACGTAGATTATCCCGCCACCTGCGATCAAGACAGCTTTATTGAAAGTTCAAGACAGCGATAAATCGTTCAACAAATTCATATTTAACATTCTAACTACATTGACAAAATGTGATCAGAAGTGTTGTTGCGTTTTTTTGAAACATATTGCTTCATGTTGTAGTTTTCATGCCTTAACATTATCACATGAAACACCAAACCGTAATGTTCAATATGTAGCAGGATTTTCTTAATTATGTGTATGACAAATTCGTTTTCATTAGAAATGCTCAGGTCAAAACAGCATAAGAGTAAACTAACTGTTTTTCGTGAAAATGAAACAACAATAAGATTACTGTTGACTAGGTATTATATTCAGTACCAAATGATCCATCAACATACACAAGTGAATAAACAAACTGCTTTCTTTCCAAATAAAACAATCAACAGGTTACTGTTGATTCGATATTATATCCAGTGCAAAATAATCCATTAACATGCACATGGCCACACCTCTCGATATACGAAAGCTAGTGAAATATAATGGTTTCATAAGTCCAATATTAGATATATATCTTGCCATGTAAGGATATAATAAAACAAATCTTGAAGTATATTATCAAATTTGAAGCAAACACAGGACAACCAACGAAATTCACCCTCTCATTTGAACTGTTTAGATGTATCGAAAAGTAAGACAGTTTTATCAGTTGCATTCACCAGCTTATTAATATTTGTAACTTATCTTAAATTTTTATGTTTGAGCAATCCAACCCGATCGGTCATGCAGCTTTCCTTCATGTATATAACTCTACAATAATTACTAAATACTCAGCAGACAATTACTTCGTTCATTGACTTCATAAGATATCGTCGTTTACAAAGCTTCTGCTCAGAGTGACCATATTGATTTGCTGGTATCGGAAATCCAGTAATTTAGCTTTCCATTTGCAGTGTGTTAATTTAGAATTATTTGCCTACAAAATGCAAAAAATGATAGTGAATTTACAAACTGAAGAGTTCAATTGTTATTGTAACCAACTGAAAAGTCAAAAATTTGACTAAAAAAGAAGAAAGGAAAGGGAATTTCAGAAAAGTTTTCAAAAACTATGAGGTTTCAAATAACAAATGATCAAGGCCTCTGCTGTTTCTAATCATTAAGAAACAAGAAACCAAGAAGCATTTGAACGAATTCAGTCACCAATTTAAAAGTCATTGTATGAGCCACTTGGATGGTCGAAATCGATCAGGTGGTCCAGGCCTGGTTTCCTGACTCACTTCCTATCACGTTGATACAAGCAGTTAGGAATATATCCCTTTGGTTTGACAGATTTATCTATCTGACGCAGATGTGCTTCTGCAAAACCTCCCAGATATTAGAAAAATTAATATGTATGCTCATTTAGTACGATTAAGATTGGTTTTTCAATGTTACCGCCAAACTAAAATTGCTACCCAGCAGTGTTTTAAAAATGTCTGTCAAATAGTTGGACAAAATGGGAGGAAATATAAGACCTGTAACAGAGAAGTGGTTACAATTAAAAGTCACAACAAATAAGCCAATTCGTACCCTAATCATTCAGGGATCCACTTGTATCAAACTTTGCAGTGGCTTTACTGTCAATTAAAAGCTAAGAGACTATCTAGAAGGCAAGTTACATAATCGAAATTTTACTCTGAGGTTACTGTCCAAAGATTTCCTGAATAAGTTACATTTTCTACCGTTTGATGCTGACAGTAAATCAGTTAACACTGCTTTAAGCAAAATATTCAACCTGTTTGTCAGATTCATTGTTGAATAAGTATTATACTGAGTGAAATAAAATCTAGGTCACGTCGGGATTCGAGCCAGCAGATTTTCAGTTTACTTCGACTGACTTATTTGATTATTACTTTTACGTTATAGGTAAGGGAAAATTATTATGCGAAATATCTTACTACTATATTATTGTTATTGTGTACAGAGGTTATTATTTATTGATAAACAATCCAAAGTAAGGTAGTGTGATTATTTTTCCTTACTTGGAAAGGAGAGAAATCATGATGAAAGGAGATCTGTGCAGTAAATTACTCAAAATCACTGGCTGTCGACCCACATATTTCCAATCATAGCTTTAGAGTGTCCAGAAAATTGAAACTGAAACCCTACAACTGTATAATAAGTAAACAGTTCAGTATGTGCGTAAAACGTGTTAGTACCTCAAGTATACAGGTTGAGGGTGGACATTTCACCGCGGGTTATTTTGATGCTGTTAGTTGACGTCTTATAATAAACACAACAGATGACAACAGCGCTCTGAATATTTGATTACATCGATAAAAAAATCAGAAGCTAATGGCCTGCCATCCCTGTTTTTCATAGGAACCTCATAAATAACTGCTAACTACACTTAAAGTATCGGGAACTTCCATAATTATTTGCTTTGAAAAGTGAAGGCCTGTAAGATATGACAAAACTCTCACAATGGGTCTTGAATACGATAAGCTCAACAAATGGTCCTGAAATCAAGCGTGAATACATTGGGGATGATTCGAGGCGTTAAGCCATAGAGTATTTCGCATAATGCGTCCAGGTGAACGCAATTTCTAAATGATCAGCAATGATCAGGTAGAAGATAATACTATCTCTATACGAAATGGTTTCCTTTTGCAAATAAGGCAAATTTAACTGTAGGCAGTTTGGAAACTCGATAGAAAAGTTATGCAGTTGTGTTTAACTGTTACTTGTGACTAATTCCGTCTTCTATTCAAAAATAAAATTAGCTCTCTAATTGTATCTAACCGAAGGAGACATGTCAAAACATAACCTTGGTAATTAACGTGGATTCCATGCAACTTTTCAGTCTTTGCAACAAATTATGTGTTCCAGTCTATATATAAGTTTCATAAAACATTGACAACAAATTTAAACGATCAAGTATATAAACTGAATTCAATTGTGGATGTAGTGCTTCCTCTACTCCTACACACTTTTCCTATACGTCTTACCATCCCTCAGGTTGGAAGCATTCTGAGTAGTAATTAATTCTGTTATGTACATTTGATACAAAAGATTCAACTGTCAAGGGAATTCATTTAGGATTTAGGATAACTTATATATTGTACACTGTAGATCAATCCTAATTCTGATTAAGGATTTATACGTGATAGTAACCTAATGTCATTCATTAGGATCTCCTCAAAATACATCATTCATCCACAAGTAAAAACGTATGCATATATAATGTATAAATTACACATAATGGTAACAATAAAAGAAATAGAACATTGTATCAATAATAGGATGACTACATTGTGTTTTTTCTCATAACTTAATAGTTCGGGTTTTATCAATTGTAAGCATTTATTACACTTTAAAATAAATTACTTTTTTTATTGGTTAAATATTTGTACAATTATTATCAACCAATCACATTGATACGTTGTTTATCCAACTGTCGGTGATTATCTTAGGACATGCAACTAATGCGTAGAAATGATAAAACTGTTTCTGTCATTAATGAGTGCTCAAGTATTTAATAAATAAAAACGGCTTGTCTTGACCTAGTATCTTTACGAGTGAGTAAAAAAAGGTTATTTACCAAAAGATATATAAAAGTGAAAATCATATAGATTTGTAAGTATAGTCTCTACGTGTTTACAGACTTCATCAGAGTTAATCACTGAGTATCCACTGAAGCATAACACTTCGTGAAAAATGATAGCGAATTTTTTCAAGCTACTTTTAAAAACTGTTGCAGCAGTGATGTGTTTCAATTATGCAGTGGCATACAGAACCAGTAGAGGGGATGAATCCAAAGATTTTCCTCAAGATTCATGTGAGTTTGAAAACTATTAGGGTGAAATTATTCATGTAAATATTTATTTTTGTCTTTTCAAGAAAGATTTGCATATTAAGTTGTTTAAATCTGTACTTATTACACTTAGCATTAGACAAAAAGACAAATCTAAAATAGGATACCTGTTCATTATAACTATCCTGGTTATAGTGAAGTAGGATTGAGCTTCTGACTTGAAATGACCCACTGTAAGCATACTTCAATACGCTGCTAACTATAAATAGTTGAATTCATATGCGAATAACCTTGCGAAGAAACGCAAAAAGAAGTACCGAAATGTATTCTCACTAGAAATGATTTATTTTTATGTTCAATAAATTTTAAACACTCATAAATTCTTATAGATATCAGATTTTAATTTATTAAGAAATATGCCACTCTTCAACTGATTATTGGTATAATCGGTGAAATCAGTGACAAGTGGATAACTGAATTATCATATTTTCCTTAGTACATTATCATTTCAGTGAAAACTGTTTTCTGTTTCGCTGACTGTTTTGAAGTTAGTATTCTAGAAAGTAAATGACTTTCAAATATGAAATTTTAGAAAAAGTAACAGCAAGCAACTATTTACTCATGGATCTAATATTTTTTTTGAATTTTACTGTCTCATTAAAGTATCCTATTAACTGCAAACAATGAGATCACAGTGTGAGCAGTTGAATTTGTTCTTTCGATAATTTTTTCGGAATTAGAAGCTCTCTTAAAATTTAATTACAACCACTGTTTCACCGACACAGAATTAGCTTTCCTGTGAGAAATCTTTAGAAATATTTCTATCTGTATTGTGCCTCTATAAACTAAGACAGCCGCAAGCTTTAAAATGATTGTTCCACGGGATAAATGTATACTGTAGATACTGAATCTTTGAAGGTCACTTAAACAAACCGATATATTTTTGTAACTGTATGATTATCATCTCTCTCTCTATTAGTCTAATGATTATAATTTCTTTTTATGTTAAGTGACATCATTTAACCAGAAACTAAAAAGACGAAGGTTCACACTTGTAGGTAGGCTTTCATGTCCCATAATTTATTTTCTTTCGTTGAATACAATAAGTGTACATTTGCGAAATATTTATGAAGTAAAGCAAAAGACATTTTGTAGAGTCGCTCTTTTCAGCAGTCATTTCTAAACTTTTTAATCGCATTTAAGCATTCTGATTACATGGTAACAGAAAAGGAATGTTGTTGAACGTAATTCAGTTTCGACTATAGAAATCAGGAGATCGGAAGAAGAACTACATGATGACAGAAATAGTATTGAGAAGAAAACTTACCGGAGATAAAGGAATGTACGGTTACCAAGTTAATTTATCATATAATGTAATATATTTTGGTTCAGAGACCGGCAAATGTGATGAGAGATCATAGTTATAGGGGCAGAAGAATGTTTTTTGTGACAAGATGTGGAGGAAAAGATTTTGAGTGTAAAACGTTCTAAAAGGTCATATAAACTGCATCTCAAATGACTGAACAAATTCCTTTTGAACTCAGAGTTCAAGCTTCAAGATATTACTTTCTGTGGCTTCAGGATTTCAAAGAAGTACAAGGCGTACGCCCTTCACTACGCTTTCATGTACTGTGTAGATGAAAATGAAGTTTTTTTACGCATTTGCATGGTGTTCATAACCTATCGAATGTTCTAAATAGAGCTGCTAGGTAATCTTCTTTCTTCTTTGTGCAACTACACTGATGTATGTTTGAAAAACCGTTTGGAAAGCGAAGGCTGAGTACGGTCATTATACCTTACTTCACATGAGCAGGTGAATTTATAGGCACACTTCTAGGTGACCAAGGAAACTGGCTTATCCTCTGAGCATAATCAAAGCATTGGGTAAGTAGGGAAATTTAATTTATGCTTGGCAGCATAGAAAGCCTTTTTAAGTGAGCACAAAAGATGGTTTCTCAATATATCTGTCATAGGTCTCCGTGGAACTGTAGGCTCATGAAGTACCTGAGAAAATTCATCTATTAATTCTTCATAAACCAAGTTTTGCTTTATTTTTTCTGTGTTAACGTTTTTTGGGTTTATCAGCCAGATAATATTTCCATAGATTTCTGAAAATATTCCATCTTGTTGAAAAGAAACTAAGGTAGTAACGTAGAGCTGGAAATATACATCATTGCATACCTGTACTTATTTGTTTTATTCACGTAAACCAAACTTATTAACTTGCCAATATGATTAAAATCACCACCATAAGAAATATTTACACAATGCCTTTAATGTTTCAGATAAAGAAATTAGGGTAGTTAAGTATGGGAATCCGTTTTTTCATTTTTTCCGACTTAGAATCGACATAACTGAAGTTATGCTTCATTTTTTCACAAGATACTGACTCATCGGTACCACTATAAATACCCCAATATTCAACCACAATAGAAGCAAACATGCAACTTTTCAAGAAACTTTGGAATTTAGTTACAAGACCTACTTTGCAACAGTACAGTATGTGTAAACAAGAGAATAAAATAAGTTTGTTTCACAGAGTTGTTGTCATGAGCTATTATAACAAGTGTTTGCTGGGGTTAGCATGCTCCCAAATTAAGGGGCCATGTAGAATGTGAGATGATCTGATTATCATCCTATTTCTCGGTTAAATCAGCAGCCTAACCTTTGAAAGTTATGAAGTGATTAAGATATTATTTAGTGATAACTATTGGCTCTTGGGGTGGTCAAAAAATAGGATTCAAGTCTATAAACAGTTTGAAGCTGAAGTGAGATCTATTTTAGTTGTTAAACATGAAACTTTTATGAGATCGATAGATATAAACTTCATTAGTTTCTTAGAAAGTTGAAGTTAGACCATTTGAATATTTCCCTATTCATAGAAATGTGTTCACTCAGAATACAAATAGTTATTCATCGCTCAAGGTTGAATAGAGCTGATCAAATAACTACTGAATAAAGTTATCAAAATGTAAAAACTAATTTCTCTTCAGTATGATGTAATAATTATCACAGAATAATATGTATTGCCTGAGAAACTACAATTTGTTGTTGACAACTTTAATTAAAATTTGAAACGTTCGAAGTTTCAGCGTTTTGTCTGATGGGAAATATTTTTATTGATCTTGAGATCTTTTTGCTTACTTTTTTAAATAGCCTTTCCGCTTAAAAGTCATACCCTTTTGTTTGATTAGCATAGCAAATGAAAAATGTATCTCGCATCCAGTAGAAGTATTAAATTACAGGACGACAATACACTTCGAACACCTCTTTTACTGATCAGACACAATAAAGTATAGTTTGCATATAGGTTTCATTGCTGAGTGTTCAAATCTGCTTTTGTTACAAACCTACTCAGTCCTACAACCAATGCCAATTATGAATTATATAAACTGTATCTCCCACTTTGTTGCTTTTCATCAATGTGCAATATCACCCACGCTGAGTCTAAGAAAGGGAAAGTTTAATAGACTTAGTTAGTACCTTACAGTTCTCCACATTTAGATGAAAGAAGAAGTACCTTACTTTAAGTTCCGTTGAAAAAGTAATATGGCATGTAGTACCCTTTTATTCCTGGAACGTCAAAGTTCTTGGATAAATTCCAAAAAGTCGATTCCGCTTCTAATTTTTGAAAAGCTGAAAACTATGGTGAAATCACAATTTAATATCTTTTTGTACTGCAATCGCTTCCTAAACAAGTATCAGTTTGAAGTGAAACATTTTTTCTTTATTGCATTTCTGTTGGATCGTTTTCTATCATCTGTGTACTGAAAATAATGTCTACTGGCTTTTCACTTCCAAGCTATACCTTAACTTCTATGGGCTAAGTCTCCTAAATCATAGTTGTTTACAGGGAATTACAGGACATACATCCTAGGAAATTGATCAACACACAAAAACTAGGTGACGAGCTAAGGAACAGCTTATTTAAATAATGAAGTAATACAACCAGTTGAAGCTGTTATTAATGTGTTGTTCTATATTAGAATAGTGTTTACGTAATTGCCTTCGAAATTACATCTATTCTTATGAAGTACAGTATATGTAATAGTCATTTACAGTAGCATCTTTTTATAATAACATATTTCATTCACTACGTAAGCTGTAAATGTTGTTCTTTTACGAGAAATGTAAGGAAATTAAGAGAAGCTTTACTGATCAAATTATTTGCTTCCGAAATTTGTTGTAATTAATTAGTGATGGTATTCTAACTACAAAGTGAAACCCTTTTGGGTTCTTAGAGAAGAATGTGAGGAAACTGTTCACCTAGCGTTTCCTTAAACTACCATATAGTGATTATTTTGTCCTCACGGAAGGCCTAAAACAGTGGACACGCTTAACTTCTTAGATTTACAACCACTGATTTCTCACAAATTGTGTATTTCTTTCAGTCAATTAAACATTTCATCATTCCAGCAAATAACTGACTGCAGAATTATTATTTTGCAGAATAACTTCCCTTTCATTTAAACAAAGCTCTGCGGTCAGGATCAGCAAGACTAGAAATTAACAATGATCAGTTATTTCTTTCACACTTCTAAAACAGATAAGATGAGTATATCATTAGAAATGTATAACTATCCCTTGAGAAATTAAGAACAGAACCATTTATCAAAGTCCATGAGTGTTTTTTAATACCTGAGTTACAAATATGACATAGTTCACAACTTTCAGCGAAATAAATGGATAGTTTCCTAACCCTTAGCGAAAAAAACTAAATGTGAATAACAGATTCTGGAGACGAAAGTTTCAGTTAAAATTAATTTATCACATCTCGTTTTATTTTCAGCAATCGTATGTACAACAAAACAATGAAACCAGAAAGTTCATATTTCTAATTTGTGTATGGCTAAATAAAACTCAAGAATTGTGTCTTTTTCATGCTAATAACATGTAAACTGAGATCGTAAATGCTTTGTCAGTTAAATGCAGTTGAATGAATCTCAGTAATCGCACTACAAAAAGATATAAATGATTTCCGTTCATTAGACGACAAACTGCTTTTATTGTAACTAATGCAATCT